AATATAACCAATTAAGTTTTCATTCTTCTTATTATTTTTTTGTTAGTTAACTGTAAAGGGCAAAATTCAAACCTTTTAATGAGTTATAAGGATAATATTGATGTTTTTATAATGAAAAAAAAAATTACATTTTGCTTATTTGTTTTTGAAAAGTATATTTTTGTCATTCTTGATGGAATGATTTTTGACATTTGATTTGTTTGTCTAAGCAAGTTGTTCGACCCTTCTCAAGGCAGGCCAATTGGATCCAACCATTTGCATCTATACTAACTCATCAAGAAAACGTATCCTCCACTGTTCTCCATTCATCTTCTCCTCTGTAAAAGTTTTACTTCCATCATGAATGCTTAATGCTGTTGAGCACCATGTGAAAGAACTTGAACTCATGTTTCCACGTATTCGTTTGACGATGGCGAAAATTGACAGTACAAATAACGTCATAATTATGGCTCGCAAATTCTAAGGTTATAATATGGAGATATAGGTAGAGAAAACTTCATATTTTCTGTAAAGTTTATTATTCAATAATAATATAAAAAAATACCATCCGTTTATATAGAGATTAAAATCAATCTAATCAAAAGAAATCAAATCTTAGCAAGAAAAGTTATTAAAATTCAATATTAATTAGAAAAATAATAAAAAAACAAAAATTTAAGAGATTTTCACTTACATTACTTACAAAATTGAGCTTGTAGAATTATCTCATGGCGATTTAATAATTAAATCTAAAATTATAATTATTGTTATCATTTATAAATAAATGAGTAACATGTTTCATGTTAAAAACTCAAGATTTACTTTTTTTTATTTTGATTTATGTGAGATGTCCGGATAAAACACACCTCAATTAATCTAAAAAACTCAAGGCTCCTTTCATCCGAGGTGCCTTGTATACTGCAAAATCGCTGTGAATGGCACACAAGGTCGTGTTAAGTACTGGTGAGTGATTTGAATTCTAAGGGAATTTGGAAAGGTTGTCATGAATTGAAGGGTGGAAAGATCTATTCATCAGAATTATTTGCTGAAATGCAAGTGAATAGTGAATGTTGCCCTTTCTTCAGCAAACAAGTCACTGAAGGCTCTATCATTGATGAAGCTATTCTTCCTTTCTGATTCAGACAATTATAATTCTGACAATCATTGACATCCTTATTTGCTGTCACACCCACTTGAAATCTACTTAGGTTTTAGGAACTTTTTTCCCTTCTTTTCCAAGCAAACTAGTTGCTGCAGCATTTGTCGAAGTTCCCTCTCCTTTGATACCCTCCACCTTTTTGAAGTAAGATAAGGTACTTGATATAAACCTAGTTTGTAACTAAAACTGGACATTACACCTAAGTTCATCCTCTTCCGACCACTATAAAAACCTCACTCTATCTCTTCTTTACACATCAAATACTTCCATGCACAATTCTAGCTCAACTAGTATTGGCATTTCTGATCTATTGTTTCTAGCGTTATAATTAATCCCAAAAACATAAAGATGAAGCAGCAGTTACTCTCCTCATTTTCAATATTCCTTTTATTCCTCCATTGTGCCAATACCTTTGCCCAGATACCAGCTGCAGCCCCAGCGCAGGCACCTGCAGTAGTCGTAGAACCACCTCCAGCTGCAACCCCAACACAGGCAGCTGCACCGCATGGCATCACCAACGTCACCAAAATCCTCGAGAAGGCTGGACACTTCACGAGAGAAGTCTAGCCACTTCACGATCTTTATCCGTCTTTTGAGATCCACTCAAGAGGAAAGCCACTTATTCTCCGCACTAAATGATTCAAGCACTGGTTTAACCATCTTTGCACCAACAGATAGCGCATTTTCGGAACTCAAATCAGGAACTCTAAACACTCTAAGGGATGGAGACAAGTCTGAGTTAGTGAAGTTTCACGTAGTTCCAACATTCCTCTCCACTTCCCAGTTCCAGACCGTAAGCAATCCTCTCGGAACATGGGCCGGAACAGGTAGTAGGTTACCGCTCAATGTCACAAGTTATCCAAACTCGGTGAACATAACCACAGGACTTACCAATACTAGTTTATCTGGAACCGTATACACAGACAACCAGCTAGCCATTTATAAGATTGAGAAGGTACTCCTCCCCAAGGACATTTTTGCTTCTCATGCTCCAGCTCCAGCACCAGTGGCACCTGCACCAGAAAAGCCAACGAAGGCAGTTCCTGCAGTAACTGTAGAGAGTCCTGCAGCTTCTGTGGATATATCTAGTGCACTTATCTTTACTAAAAATATTCTGGTGGGATCATTTGGTTTACTTGCTTCTGCAATGTTTTCTCTGTAATGTAGAAGGATTTCGAATCTTGATATGATATAAGTAGGGGTTGTGTCCGGTTTGGTGCTTTGTTTTGCTGCGCCGGCCGATTGTGTGTTGAATAATTCTGCTTTTACCTTGAATCCAGTTTGTATGATTTGAGTTCATGATTGAGTTGAATTTTGAGATTCTATCTAATTAACTTGATTAGTCATCAAATTTCATTTTTTTTTCACTATCATTTCCTAGCTTTTGGCTAGATAATGGTGGTTTGATTGGCGGATCAAGAATTCTATGATTATGAGCATTGGAGGAAGCATCAATTCCTACCCTTGAACAATGATTATCTTTGATTTCTCTATTAAGCATACATTCATACTTGCTGGACATATTTTCCATATCGAAAAAATCCCCCCAGCATTTCATGCTACACTTGCTTGTGAACTTGCAGTTTCTACATTATAATTCACTTAAAATTGATTTCTTAGAAGATCAACCTTGATGCTCTTAAGCTTTTCCACTTTCTAAATTATTAGGTGTGATTTTGGTATCTTTACATTTTGCTTAGAGACATGACCATGCTTGATCTTTTCTAACTAGCTACTGGTGAACCCAAATTCCTGTCTGTAAGTCTCTATTAATGCTATGATGACCACTCCTGCTTCTCTTGCTGCACCTTCCGAACCCTCCTCCATCGCTCACCTTCCTTTTCTCCTTGCAAATTTTACCTCCATCTTTGAACATCTTAAGTGGATTGCTAATGCCATTAAGTACAATGTACAAGAAATTCACTTCGGTTTCTCTCCGGTTCCTGGGCTACCTCTCTTTCTTTATGCTCAGAATTGGACGTGTTAAATTTTTGAGGCTTTAATGTTATTTTTGGTATAAAATATAGTATGAGCAATGCCTTCGTGGGGCTCAAGTCCGAGGTCAGTGTTCGTTGAACATTGGCTTCTACCAGATGACTTTGAGGGTGACTTGATTTCTGGATGTGAATTTGGAGATCATATCTCTTGAAGGTTGTAGGGAATTAAAAACATAAAATATTGTTCGTTAAAGCTTAACAAGTGCTAAAACTAATTTCCTTCACTCACAAGAATGCATTGCCTGCTGATATTACTTCTCCAAATCTTGGCTCACTAGAGATTATTCAATTTAAGTCGAGGAGGTATTATTTCCAACTTCAAGGACTTGTCAGGTTTCACTGAAGCAAATATTTCAGTCTTGGACAGAAAAACTATATTAAGCATTGCAGACCAGTTCTTAGGTCATCTGCTCATGCCAAGCGTCTTACTATACTATGTTGTGGGATTAAGTTGATACTCTTTCC